TGACTCAGTTGTCCTTGATCCTACAGACGGTTGTCCAGTTATTGCGATCCCAGGTGATGGACCAGAGGTGCCTGTCAATCCTGATGATGGGACAGATGTTTCTAATCCTAAAACAGATGGTCCAGTTGTCCCTGAACCTCCAGAAAATAGGCCAGTTGTGCTTGATTTTCGAGTTGATGATCCAGTTGTTCTGAATACTTCAGATGATGACTCAGGGGACTCAGATACTTCAAATGACTGTCCAGTTGTGGCTGATCCTGTAGCTGATATTCCATTGGTGCCGGACTTTACCAATGAAGGTCTAGTTGTCCTTAATTCTTCAGATGATGGCCCAGTTGTCCATGAACTTAAAACAGATTGTCCTGTTGTTCCTGATCGTCCATGGAATGGTCCTGTGGTCCCAGATATTCCAGCTGCTTGTTCTGTTGTCCCTGCTACTTTGGCCGACAGTCCAGTTGTCTGTGATCCTCCTGTGGATGGACTGGTAGTGCCTGAACTTACAATAGAGGTTACAGTGGTTTCTGATCTTCCAGCCAATGACTCAGTTGTCCTCGACCCTACAAGTGACTGCCCAGTTGTTGCAAACCCAGGTGATGGACCAGAGGTCCCTGTCAATCCTGCTGATGGGACAGATGTTCCCGGTCCTACAACAGATGGTCCAGTTGTCCCTGACCCACCAGAAAATAGGGCAGGTGTGCCTGATTTTTGAGTTGATGATCTAGTTGTTCTGAATACTTCAGATGATGGCTCAGGGGACTCAGGTACTCCAGATGACAGTGCAGTTGTGGCTGATCTTGAAGCCAATACTCCAGTTATGCCTGACTTTATTAATGAAGGTCTCGTTGTCCTTATTTCTTTAGAAGTTGGTAAGTTCGTCTCTGAAACTAAAACAGGTTGTCTTGTTGCTCCAGTTCGTCCATGGAACGGTCCTGTGGTTTCTGCTACCTCAGCTGCTTGTTCTGTTGTCCCTGCTTCTTTGGCTAACAGTCCAGTTATCTGTGATCCTCCTGTGGATGGACTAGTAGTGCCTGAAGGTACAATGGAGGTCGCACTGGTTTCTGGTCTTCCAGACAATGACTCAGTTGTCCTCGATCCTACAGATGACTGTCCAGTTGTTGCGAACCCAGGTGATTGACCAAAAGACTCTGTCAATCCTGCTGATGGGACAGATGTTCCTGATCCTACAACAGATGGTCCGATTGTCCCTGAACCTCCAGGCAATGTTCCAGTTGTGCTTGATTTTCGAGTTGATGATCTAGTTGTTCTGAATACTTCAGATAATGGCTCAGTGGACTCAGATACTCCAGATGACTGTCCAGTTGTGGCTGATCCTGTGGCCAATACTCCAGTTGTGCCTGACTTTACCAACAAAGGTCTCGTTATCCTTATTTCTTTAGAAGTTGATAAGGTCGACCCTGAATGTAAAACAGGTTTTCTTGTTGTTCCTGATCGTCCATGGAATGGTCCTGTGGTCCCTGGTCTTCCAGCTGCTTGTTCTGTTGTTCCTGTTTCTTTGGCTGACAATCCAGTTGTCTGTGATCCTCCTGTGGATGGACTGGTAGTGCCTGAACTTACAATGGAGGTTGCAGTGGTTTCTGATCTTCCAGCCAATGAGGCAGTTGTCCTCGATCCTACAAATGACTGTCCAGTTGTTGCAAACCCAGGTGATGGACCAGAGGTGCCTGTCAATCCTGCTGATGGTACAGACGTTCCTGATCCTACAACAGATGGTCCAGTTTTCCCTGACCCACCAGGCAATGGTCCAGTTGTGCTTGATGTAAGAGTTGATGATCTAGTTGTTCTGAATACTTCAGATGATGGCTCAGCAGACTCAGATATTTCAAATGACCGTCCAGTTGTGGCTGATCCTGTAGCTGATAATCCAGTGGTGCTGGACTTTACCAATGAAGGTCTAGTTGTCCTTAATTCTTCAGATGATGGCCCAGTCGTCCATGAACTTAAAACAGATTGTCCTGTTGTTCCTGATCGTCCATGGAATGGTCCTGTGGTCCCAGATATTCCAGCTGCTTGTTCTGTTGTCCCTGCTCCTTTGGCTGACAGTCCAGTTGTCTGTGATCCTCCTGTGGATGGACCGGTAGTGCCTGAACTTACAATGGAGGTTGCAGTGGTTTCTGATCTTCCAGCCAATGACTCAGTTGACCTCGATCCTACAGATGACTGTCCCGTTGTTGCAAACCCAGATAATGGACCAGCGGTCCCTGACAATCCTGCTGATGGGACAGATGTTCCTGATCCTACAACAGATGGTCCAGTTGTCCCTGACCCACCAGACAATAGTCCAGTTGTGCTTGATATACCAGCTGATGATCCAGTTGTTCCTAATTCTCCAGCTGGTGGTCCAATTTTCCCTGTCACTCTAGTAGACTGTCCAGGTATACCCATCACTCTAGATGATATTCCACTTGTTCCTGAGCTTACAACTGATGGTCTAGTTGTCTCTGAACCTAAAGCAGATTGTTCCATTGTTCCTGATACTCCAGGAAATGGTTCTGTGGTCCCTGATCCCCCAGATGTTGGTCCTATAGTCCTTGCCTCTTCAGGTGATAGTACAGTTGTATGGATTCCTCCTATGTAGGGACCACTAGTTCCTGAACTTACAATAGCAGTTGCCGTTCTTCCTGAATTCCCAGCAAATGATCCAGTTGTTTCTGCTCCTTCAGCTGATGGCCCAGTTGTTACTAACCCAGGTGATGGGCCAGATATCTTTGTCCAACCTACTGATGGTACAGATGTTTCTGACCCTACAACAGATGGTCCTTCTGTCATCCCAGATCTACCCGTTGATAGTCTAGTTGTTTCTGATATACCAGCTGGTGATCTAGTTGTCCCCAATACCTCAGCTGATGGTCCAGTGGTGTCTGAATCTCCAGATGATGATCCCATGGTCTCTGTGTATCCAGGTAATGGTCTGGTTGTCTCTGAACCTAAAACAGATGGTCTAGTGGTCCCTGATTCTTCAGATAATGGGTGAATTGTCCTTGAAACAAAAACAGATGACACTGATGTTCCTGATCCTCCAATGAATTGCCCTGTTGTCCCTGATCCTCTAGCTTCTTGCCCAGTTGTTCCTGAATCTTTAGTTGACCATCCCATTGTCTGTGATCCTCTTACAGGTGTTTCAGTAATCCCTAATGTTATAACAAAGGTTTTTGTTGTTTCTGATCCTTCAGCTAATGTTCCAGTTTCTCCTGATGCTCCAGCTGACAGTGTTGTGGTCCCTGATCCTCTAGCTGCTGTTCCAGTTATCTCTGGTCCTCCAACTGATGATCCAGTTGACCCTGTCAATCTTGTAGATGATGTAGATTTTACTAATCCTGCAATAGGTGCTGTAGTTGTTTGTGATACTTTCGTTGATGGTACAGTTGTTCCTAACCCAAATGATGATCCAGATGTCCCTGTTAATCCTACTGATGTTACTGATGTTCCTGATTCTTTTCCTGAACGTCCAGTTATCCCTGACCTTCCAGTTGATGGTCCAATTGTCCTTGACATACCAGATGATGATCTAGTTGTTCCTAATTCTCCAGATGATGGTCCCATTGTCCTTTTCACTCCAGATGATGCTCTGGTTGTCCCTGAACCTACAAAAAATAGTCTACTTGAAGGTATAGTTGTTCCTGGACCTACAACAGATGGTCTGGTTGTCCCTAAACCTAAAACAGATTGTCCTGTTTTTCCTGACCCTCCATGGAATGGTCCTGTGGTCCCTGAACCTCCAGCTGTTGGTCCTGTTGTCCCAGCTTCTTCAGCAGATTGTCTAGTTGTCTGTGATTTTACTGTGTAGGGACCAGCAGTCCCTGAAATTACAACAGGGGTTACTGTTGTTCCTGAATTTCCAGCAAATGATCCAGTTGTCCCTGCTCCTTTAGCTGATGGCCCAGTTATTCCTAACCCATGTGATAGGCCAGATGTCCCAGTCAATCCTACCGATGATACAGCTGTTCCTGATTCTACAAAAAATGGTCCTGTTGCCATCCGAGATCCAACTGTTGATGGTCCAGTTGTCTCTGATATACCAGCTGATGATCTTGTTGTTCCTAATGCTCCAGATGGTTCAGTGGACTCAGATACTCCAGATGACAGTCCACTTGTGGCTGATCCTGGAGTCAATACTGCAGTTGTACCTGACTTTACCAATGAAGGTCTAGTTGTCCTTATTTCTTTAGAAGTTGGTAAGGTCATCCCTGAACTTAAAACAGATTGTCTTGTTGTCCCTGATCGTCCATGGAATGGTCCTGTGGTCCCTGATATTCCAGCTGCTTGTTCTGTTGTCCCTGCTTCTTTGGCCGACAGTCCAGTTGTCTGTGATCCTCCTGTGGATGGACTGGTAGTGCCTGAACTTACAATGGAGGTTGCAGTGGTTTCTGATCTTCCAGTCAATGACTCAGTTGTCCTCGATCCTACAGATGATTGTCCAGTTGTTGCAAACCAAGGTGATACACCAGAGGTCCCTGTCAATCCTGCTGATGGTACAGACGTTCCTGATCCTACAACAGATGGTCCAGTTGTCCCTGACCCACCAGACAATAGTGCAGTTGTGCTTGATATACCAGATGCTGATTTAGTTGTTCCTAATACTTCAGCTGTTGGTCCTGTAGTATCTGAATCTCGAGATGATGATTTAGTTGTTCTTGTCACTCCAGATGATGTTCCAGTTGTCCCTGAATCTAAAACAGATGTAGTTGTTCCTAATCCTTCAGATGTTTGAGTTGTCCCTAAACCCAGAACAGGTGTTTCTGTTTTTTCTGATTCTTCAGTGGATGGTCCTGTAGTCCCTGATCCTCCAGCCGCTAGTCCACTTGTCTGTGCTTCTTCACCTGATCGTCCAGTTGTCTGTGATCCTCCTATGGATGGTCCAGTATTTCCCGACTTTAGAACAGAGCTTTCAGTTGTTTGTGATACTCCAGCAAATAATGTAGCTGTCCCTGATCCTTCAGCTGATGGTCCAGGTGTTGTTAACCCAAGTGATGGTTCAGTTGCTCCTTTCAATTCTTCTGATGGTACAGATGTTCTTGAAAGTGCAACAGATGGTTCAGTTGTCTCTGATCCTGTAACTGATGATCTTGTTGTTGCTGATCCTCCCAGTAATGGTCCTGTTTTCCCTGTCACTACAGATGACAATACAGTTGTCCCTGATTCTTCAGCTGATATTCTAGTTGCCTCTGATCTTCCCTCAGATGGCCCAGTTGTTCCTCCTCCTTCAACATAGTGTCCAGTTGTTCCTGTAAAAATAAATAGTAAAACTACAATTTTGTTTTTAAGATATATCGTGGGATTTTTGTTGTTGTTGTTAAACTAGGAGCTTTCTCCACTATAGCTTTCAAGCATCTTCATGGGCACCACCATATTTCATACCTTTTATTCTACAGTGTAACTTCTTCCTGTTTATTCATCTAGCAGTACTTTACTGGGTATCTTGTGTGGTATTGTATAAGTTCTCAGAAACATATAAATATTACTCATTTTACCATTGGAACTACCCTATGGCATATATAGTACTACTTTCCCTTTTGATAGAGTAGAAACTAAAGCAAATATAGTTGAAATAGCTTTTCAAAAATGATGTAGCTAGTAATTAGAGAGTTCTCAGTTTCATAAAGCATTCCTAGTTGAATGGAAGAGACATACAGACATATAAATTAAATTATATCCAAACAAACAAATCCACACACAAGAAAAGTGTCAAAGCACTAACATAAAGTGAGGTAATACTGAGCAACTGGGATTCTATTTTAGACTGCTTGGATAACAGACCTCTCTGAAAAAATGTCTTTTATTTTGAGATATGACAAAAAAGCAGAAAACTATGTGAAACTCTAGGGAAATAGAACTCAGGCAGTGGGAACAGCTAGGGCAAAAGCCATAAGGCTGAAATGAACTATTTGTGCTAGAAAAGCAGAAGTAGAAGGTGAATGTATTTGGAAAATTGGAGGTTACAGGGAGGACATGCCAACAACTTGGCATCACCCAGAATACTCTGATATGAGACCCTTATATCAAGAATTCCACCAAGGGAACAGATGAGGTTGGAAACCTTGGATTTGTTGAGACATGGATCTACACAGTAGTGTGTGTGTATGGTGCCTATTTACATCAAAGCTTCATTACTTGGGCAAAGCAGCAAATAACCTACTGCCTACCATATCTTCAATCCTTCTGGAAGGTTCTCTTTCATAGAACCTGTTGTTTTATTTTGTTAATAAAAGTAAAGCCTCTGAATCCTTTACCAGATTGGGAACTCTTATTCATCATTTCACATATTCCAGATATCCACCAGATATTTATTAAGTCAGGCACTAAGCTAGGCACTGGGAATGCAAATGTAAACTAGCATAGGCAAGGTAACAAGACCTTTCTCTAGTTTTGATAGTAATTCACCATTGTACTAGACAGTGGCTGTCTAGTAACAGAAAATGACTGGATGAAGATTCAATCATCTAGGCCCTGTTTTATCCTCCAAACATATTCACCTATGACTAAAGTAAACACATTGATTTTTTTATTTATAAAATTTGAATAATCACTAATATATTGTCAATTGCACTAGGTGGTTATATGATTCGAGTAAGTGAATATATATGAAAACACTTTGTCCATCTTATACTTAGTATAATTTTATGTGATTATCATTTTTATTTTTTGCTAAAACAGGTTAAGATGACTTACAAATGATATTATACGATGGTAAATGACTACCTCATATCTTTATTTCATTGAATAAGTTGTACTCAATATATCCAGTAAAAAACAAAGTATAAAAACAGTTTTATTTTACTAATTAAATTTTTAAGCACTTTTTTTCCTATTTCATGAGAAATATTTACCAGTCCCCTTTCCTTCTCTCTTTTTTTCTCTCTGGTCTGTATCTTTGATCCTTTGAAACAATTTAAATATTATGAAACACAAACATTGTTTAGTAAGGTGTGGCTATACCCATTGCATATTGCATACCCTCACTGTATATTTTCCTGTAAGGTGAGTTTTGAGCAAATGAGGTATGTAGAGTCATGTTCTATTTGCAAATTCTAGAAAAGAAGAATTTTTTAAACCAAAGTGTAGAGATTTTAAGGAGCAATTTTTATAATACTAAAGATAGCGGGTTTTTGAAAATAGATTGCAAAAAGAAAAATTCTAACTTGAACTTGAACATCCCTGTTGATGGCTGAGAATCATTTAATATCCAGAAGCCTATTATTCAACAAAGAAAAGAATTTATTGAACTCTCAAATATTTCTGTTATGGGAAAATCATATTATCAATCAATGAAATGCAGAAATACTATTATTTAGTACTTTTATATTTATATTTGTTTGTTGTGTAAGTGATTTTTTGTAGAGCCACTCAAACCTTAGATGAAGAAATGTAACTAACTGGATGAGGAAACATCCCTAACTCAAAAACAAAATTTAAGGAACAAATATAAGATGAAATGCTAGATGGTTACTATTACATTTTTAATTAACTCAGTTATAGTTGTATCAGGTAACATTCCAGTGATTTCTGCATTGGCCACATCAGATTCAAAATGCTGCATTAGTCTTGTTTAGTAACGGGGAACACCTGAACTGTCAGATCACTGTCACACTGTCATGTGCTGTTCTGAAAACCCAACAGTGCACAAACACTGAACAACAAAAAATTTAATGGCAATCTTTCTAGTACCACCAGATGTTCCAGTTGTACCTGCTATAAAGGAAAAATGGATTGGGTTCATTCCCAGAATATCTTAAGCTATGAGATAACCAAATCTGACTTAAATGAACTTCCAACAAAAGATTACCAAAATATCTGTTTTCTACATCAATGATATTACCCTTTATACATTTCCAAAGATGTGCTTTGACATACATTTATTTATTTTTTCACTGGATTCTCATCACAATCCCACTCAATAGATTACATTCCCATTTTTTACTGATAAGAAAACTGAAGTTACAGATGTTAAGTGATTCATTCACTTAATTGCATGAATTGCATGATACTGGTTCTAGGAAAAGTATTGACATTTGAATACTGCTCAGGCAGGTTGTTTATTCAGGATTTTTTTTTCTTCCCATCTGAAATGGTTATTGAAAATTTATCAAATGTATTTTTAGCCTGAATGTAGATAATTAGTTTTTTTTATTTCTCTTAGCTCTATTAGTATGAACCATAAATATATATAATTTTTTTTTTGAGAGAAAGAGAGCAGGGGAGGGACAGAGAGAGAGAGAGAGAGAGAGAGAGAGAGAGAGAGAGAATCCCAAGCAGGCTCCACACTGTCAGCACAGAGCCTAACATGGGGCTTGAACTCAGGGGCTCAAACACATGAACAGTGAGATCATGGCCTGAGCCAAAATCAAGAATTGGATTTTTAACCAAGTGAGCCACCCAGGTGGCCCTATTATGAACTATATCAGTGGACTTCCTAATTTTGAAAAAATTTTCACCAAAACTTAATAGGAACTATTTTTAAACATTATTTTAGTGTGCTTTTGGATTCCAATTTCAGCCATTTGTCATTTGCTATGCACTCTTAAATTACTCCTTTTTTTTTTTTTTTTTTTTTGCTTTTTGCTTCTTTATTTCTATTTTGATAGGTTCTATTTTCACAGTAACACTTTTATATAATCCCATTAGCACACTCCCAATTTTCTTTCAGGTAGTATCTATTGTTTCTCAACAAATAATAATAATTATTATATACTTATCATTATATAATAATTATTATTAATATAAGTATTATTATTTCTTCTTCCCTTCTCTTCTTCTTCTGTGCTTTCCACTTTAAATACCATTTTCTTTCTTAATATTCTTTGTTTTTACTTCTTTAATAAATGTGAATTTCTCTTATCTGGCTCATGGGCTTTAAATAATTTGACTACTATCTAATCAATAAGATTATCGCATCTTCCTTCTTATTCCTATCTATTTATTAATATGATATTTTTAGTTGGTTAAATATGTAACATTTATGTATTTTTCTTCAGCCTTTCTTTCAACTTTTGTTCTAATGTTAGAGCTATAGTTAAAAATAGTGCCCTATATAGGGGCACCTGGGTGGCTCAGTTGGTTAAGCTGGCTCTTGGTTTCAGCTTATGATCTCATGGTTTGTGAGTTTGAGCCCTGTATCAGGTTCCTGGCTCTGTGCTGACAGTGAGGAGCTTGCCTGGAATTCTCTCTCTCCCTCTCTCTCTCTCTCTCTCTCCCTTTCCCCCATTAGTGTTCTCTCTCTCTCTCTCTCAAAATAAGTAAACTTCACAATTCTTTTTTTTTTTTTTTTAACTTTTGTTTACTTTTGAGAGACAGAGCACAAGCAGTGGAGGGGCAGAGAGGGAGACACAGAATCCGAAGCAGGCTCCAGGCTCTGAGCTGTCAGCACAGAGCACAACAAGGGTCCTGAACTCACAAACAGCGAGATCATGACCTGAGCCGAAGTCAAATGCTTAACTAACTGAGCCACCCAGGTGCCCCAATAAATAAACTTTAAAAGGAAATAGTGCTATAACTTTTGGTCATTTTCAAAGCATCTCTTTGTTGCTTAATGCACTCACTCTACAGTGATTTTATTATGAAGGGCTCCATGGGTGTATATTTCTCTGAATTCCTTCATGTTTTCAAGTATTTCCCGATAGCTTGATACCTGAATTACATTTAGCTCTATTTAAAAACACTTAGCTTACATTTCTCTGCCTTGAGTTTCTTAATGATCCTACTTTATCTCACTAAGCCTGATACCAACCTGAATTTCTTTCATTTTAAAAGACTTTTTCTTTTTGCCTCAAGGTCCAGAGACTGTATCTTTCAAATCTGACACTTTTCTAAAATAACTCACCAAATTGACCATTCAGGATTAATTCTTCCTGATATATGGAAGATCCTTTCAACATGTAAATTTAGGATTTCCCTTTTAATTACGGGACACTTGTCCTGACTTACAGTTTTACACATTGTTTCATTGTTTTTTCTTCTCCAGAAACT